ATTCATTTCCCTCAAACCATGCAAAATTACAGTACCTGGGAGTATTATGTGTACATTAGCCTGCTGAGTATTACATGGATTGCCTTTCGTAGTTTACTTCCACAAATCGCTCAGGAGAGAAAATACTGGACTCTCCAGCCTTCTTCTAACTGATTTTCATCCTCTCAGGCTCTACAGTAGTTAGCTCAAGCATTGCACTAAAATATCAGCATATTCCAAGCAAAGGAGGTGAAAACAGTGAAGTCCAGCAGCAATTGTTTAGTCCTGCCTGCAGGATCCCAAGTTGTGTAATGTCCAGCATTCCTTTCCACTGACAAAACTGGAAGGATGAGCAAAGCACTTTTCTCTTTCTTTCTTCCTTCCTTTCCCTTGCTGTGGACTGCCAGGTTTGACATACTGCCAGAATCAGCCGAGATAGTGCTAAAACGATTTTTAAAGACTATTCTTCCTGTCACAAGGATTCCTGAGTCGGGTATTTACAAATTGTAGTAAAGGGGAAAAATAAACAATCTAGACCAATACTTTCTTCCTGCAATCTATTTGACAATAATTCTGGCTAAGGAATGAAGCAAGAGACATGTGACCAGCTGTGTTAAATTACAAGTCTTTGGCATGGATATAGTTTGAAAGATGGATGAACAGGTGTATCGTGCTTCATTGAAGCTATGAGAAATGAAGGGCTCTTATTTGTGCTCAAAGGCTGCCACTGAAATCAAGGCTACATCTGGGCCTTGTGAGATTTGCTATTCACACTTCAGCTCCATCCACATGCACCTTATACTTAACCAGACCACTATCTACCTAGCTTTGCATGGCTCTCTGAGACTAGCCAGCCCCAAAGCTACTGAAAGTGGTCATCTGCGATGCCTTTAACTTGATATGCCAGTAAGTTGTGTGTTTGGCATTTTATGGTGAACCACACAACCCTTTCTCTTCCTTGTAATCTTGATGCGTATTTATGAAAATGGATCATGGAGGTATACACCAGATGTCTCCAAACTCAAATATCTGTTTTTATTATAACCTACTACCCGCAGAGTATAGAATACTAGAATAGGGATGTGGTGGCGCTGTGGGCTAACCCGCAGAAGCCTGTGCTGCAGGGTCAGAAGACCAGCAGTTGTAAGATCGAATCCACACGACGGAGTGAGCTCCCGTCGCTTGTCCCAGCTCCCGCCAACCTAGCAGTTCGAAAGCATGCAAATACAAGTAGATCAATAGAGACCACCTCGGTGGGAAGGTAACAGTGTTCCGTGTCTAAGTCGCACTGGCCATGTGACCACGGAAGATTGTCTTCGGACAAAACGCTGGCTCTATGGCTTGGAAACGGGGATGAGCCGCGCCCCCTAGAGTCAAACACGACTGGACAAAAATTGTCAAGGGGAACCTTTACCTTTACTAGAATACAGAGAAAAAATAGACTTTTAAAGGTACTATAAAGGAATTCATTGATCAATTTCCTCTTGATTTTCAATAGCCGTATAGCTTAAAAATGTATTTGCCTGTGAGTAGATGGAAAAGATTACTCCTGTTGGCTTTGTTCCAAATTTGAAAGTGATCTCTTCTGTTCCTTTGCACGTGAGTTTCTAGCACTGAGGCCTTCTTGGCTTGTGCCTTAAGGAGGCGGTACACAATGCATATATATCTAAGTCTGTTTCCTGGTAATTGTGGCTTGAATTGCAAGTTCAAGCCACAGTTTTTGAATCTTGTTGCTTCTAAATCTGTTTTATTAATATATTGCCTAACATTCTTAATACATTCTAGCACTCTTCTTGGCTTGTGCCTTAAGGAGGCGGTACACAATGCATATATATCTAAGTCTGTTTCCTGGTAATTGTGGCTTGAATTGCAAGTTCAAGCCACAGTTTTTGAATCTTGTCTTGTTTAAATCTGTTTTATTAATATATTGCCTAACATTCTTAATACAGTATAATGTTATTTAATTTATTTGAATAAGTCACTGTTTTTGCTTTTAATGTTGTGTTTTAATGATGTAAGCTGCCTTGGATCATTTGTTAGAAAGGGGAGGTATAAATAAATAAATATCTGCAGGACCCAAAAAGTCTAGGCCAGACTATAATCCCCCAAAGCAGAAAAATTGAGGATAAGCAAAGAAATTGAAGAAAGTTATTGGGAAAGCTCCCAAAGTATAGTTTAGTGACCAAATCCCCCACACACTTTAAAAAGTGGATGTAGGGACCATGAGTTGCTGCGGTGATAAAAACAGAATTGATTTCCATGTCCCCAGAGAGCAAAATGCAACTTTCTCAGTGTGGAAAAAAAATCTGACTACAAGTTAGTCCTGGAGAAATACCAACGGGTATTTGATCTGTCTTCTTTCAGAAGTCTGAGAAATGCTCATCCTGACGAAAATATAACAAAAGGAGGCAGTGAGAGGCTGCCCCGAGATATAGCTGAAGGGGTGGAATGGGAATACCTGGTTATTTTAAATTACTCCACATCTAGAGGGCCATGCAAATGGCATCCAAGGGTACTAAAAGAAATTGGAGGTATAATCTCAGAAGCTCTGCCTGTAATCTTTGAGAGTTCTTTGAGAGAACAGGTAATGTCCTTGAAGAATGGAGGCAAGTAAATGTTGTCCCCATCTCTGGGGGGAAAAGGTGAGTAAAGAGGATCAAGGCTGCTATTTTCAAGCCTTGGAGAGTTTCTACAACAGACAATTAAACGGTCTGAGTATTTAGGAAAAATTGTAGTTCATAGAAATCAGCATGAGCTTCTTAAAAATTAGTCCTTTTGCTTAGTGTAGTAAATTGTTCTAGATTGTTGCAGTTATTTACTTGTTAAGTCATGTCCAACTCTTTGTGACCCCCTGGACCAGAGCACGCCAGGCTCTCCTGTCTTCCTCTGCCTCCCGGAGTTGGGTTAAATTCATACTGGTCGCTTCTCCTTGCAGTCCAGGGGACTCTCAGGTGTCTTATCCAGCACCACAATTCAAAAGCATCAATTCTTCGGCGGTCAGCTTTCTTTATGCACTGCCACTGGAAAAACCATATTCAGGTCCTCTCTGATGTTTTTGTGAAGCCACAATGGTAGAACATGGTCACTTTTCCCAGAGTTCCCCTGACTGCCACTCCTTCCACCAAGTTATCTCTATTGGTTAGCATCAAGTTAAGGATAGATAGTCCTCTAGTTTCTTCCTCCACTTTTTGTAGGAGAAAATTATCAGCCCCACGAGCTAGATATTTCTTGGAAGAACCATATTTTGCAGAATTTGTCTCACAACAGATAATTGAAATCTCCCACTAGTACTATATCATGTCTCTTTGAAATTGTTTTCCAAAAGTTTTATCCTCATCTTCTCCTTGATTGGGTAGTCAATAGTAGACTCTAACTACCACATTACCTATGTTTTTTTGTTCCAGTTATATTAATCCAGATGCTTTTAACGGGATAACCAAGTTCATCCTCCTGTATTTCTGTGCAGGAATGTGTGCTTTTAGCATATATTCCCACCAAGTTCCAGTTATTTCTATCAAATCTTATTTACTCTCCTGAACTAAGACTTCCAGTTCTTCTTGTTTGTCTCCCATACCTCTTAGCTCTCTGTAGAGTGGGAGCTAGTTGACATAAAGCCTACGTTGTTTATCCTTTCCCCCTGTTCTAAAGCAAATATAAATGCCCTGTGTCAGGGCCGGACTGGGACCAAAAATAGGCCCTGGCATTTAGAGCACACAGGCCCACCTGTTGTGGGCTCCATTCACGATATTGTGGCGCGCTGAAAGGGCATTGCTTCTTCAAAGCATTCACTGAGGATCGGGCTCTTGGAAGTCAAGGTGCGACTCGCCATCGGGTCGCGCGTGTCGCCTTCGCGGAGATTTCTGCTTTGGCTGGAAGGGGCCAGCAAAGGCGCAGGGGGAGCCCCCACCACCACCACAGGCGGACGCCTTTTATAGCCAAGGGCTGCCGGAGACGGCTGATCGCAGATAAGGAGGGGCGCCATGCCATGTCAGTGGGAGGCGAGCCCCCACCCCTCCCCCCACTGCTCGGCTGCAACACTTGTGAGTTTCCTCTTCAGTCTTATGCATTCCCTGGAAGGAGGTGCCTTCGAAAGAAGCCCACATGTCAGATCGAGCGGCCCGGGACGCCTGATGGGGGGGCGGCTGTTTTCAGGAAGGCAAACCCTGCACCCACCCTTCGGAAGCAGCCGCCGCCTCCTGCTCCGCGCCTTGCAGGCTCTCTCTTCCCCTCCCCCCCATTCTCCCAGGTCGCTACCTCTTGCTCGCCCTCCGGGGTCGGACCGGGCAGGCGGGAGGGGGGGGGGAGTCAGCCAACCTCTTCCCGCCCGAACCTGCGTTTGAATCGCGGAGGCCCGCCCAGCAGCCCTCCGCAAGGGGATGGCGCCGGCTTCTGCCCGGAGCTGGCCTCCGATTGGTTGCGCCCGGGAAAGAGGTGGGGCAGCGAGAGGGAGAGAGAGAGAGAGAGAGAGAGAGAGCCGAGCGAGGGTGACAATGTATCCAAGCTCTGGGAGCGCAGGGCGAAATCACAAACAAGCCCCAGCGCCCAGGCACGTAGAGGTGGGGTCAGGGCAGGCGCGTGTGCGTGCGTGCGGAGGCACTCGCAGCTTCTGCTGGTCGGGCTCGAGCCGTGTGGGTGGGGCCACCCCTTGTTGACTATGACAGTTACTCCATTTCTTCTACAGTAGTCTTGCCCACAATAGTAGATATGATAATCGTCTGAATTGAATTTGCCCATTCCCGTTCATTTTAGTTCACTGACGCCCAGGATTAAATCACTGTATCATTTTTGAAATTGTATTCCGGTACAGCTTTTCCCACTCTTTTGTTGACTATGACGGTTACTCCATTTCTTCTACAGTAGTCTTGCCCACAATAGTAGATATGATAATCGTCTGAATTGAATTTGCCCATTCCCGTTCATTTTAGTTCACTGACGCCCAGGATGTCAATGTTTATTCTTGCCATCTCCTCTTTGACTACATCCAGCTTACAAAGGTTCATAGATCTTACATTCCAGGTTCCTATGCAGTATTTTTCTTTGCAGCATCGGACTTTCCTTTCACTTCCAGGTGCGTCCGCAGCTGAGCGTCCTTTTGGCTTTGGCCCAACCACTTCATTAGCTCTGGAGCTACTTGTCCTTGTCCTCCGCTCTTCCTCAGTAGCATGTTCAACGCCTTCCAACCTGGGGAGCTCATC